CCCCTGGGAGAAGACAGTGATTATTGCTAGCGGCTATACCAGATGCTAAAGATAACTGTATGTAAAATCTGGCAGGCTGGTTGTACCCAAGTTGATCAATCAACTTGGATACATTTAGCCTGCCCATACATGGTTCAAATCTTGGCCGATCGCTTCTGAACCGACCAGGATTCGAACTGTCTATAGCCAGCTTTAGTCAGATCAGCTGCTGATGGTGAAATCTGACCTTCCTGTTCAGGTATCTGTATAAGAAAAAACACGGTAAGGAAACCATGAATTACTTAACAATTAAAACATGCTTGGATCTGCAAAACAGTTTACTAAATTCTCTGCAATGTGTATTGTTCACCTTGGCAAGAGTTGCATTTTAAAGCAAAACTTTTATTTTCCCATGCAGTGGGGCTGCGCCTGTACTGCAAGGGTTAAGTGCTTGTTTTGTACATGGGCTAAGTAAAAGGCTGTACATACCCATCCCTCCAATGCGCCGTAAAACCGCACTCCCCCACATCCAGCGGTAGACTGTTCCTGCTGTCCTCACGTCCGGAGCTGGTCTATGGGCATGATGACGTCAGGAACAGCCAATTCACAAGACTGCTAGTGGGTGGGGGGCAGGAGCAGCGGGGATCGGTCTTGCACTCAGAGGATTGGCAGATTAGGTAAGCATATCTTTGTTTTTCGAGGCCCTAGACAAAAACAAGAGTTTAATCATGCTGTGCAGGCACAGCCCCACTGCAATAATAATAATTTTGCCCAGAATTCTTTAAAACAAAACCTAGCATTGAGCGTAATGGAATTTGCAGAACTCTAATGGATTTTGACATAAATGCTTGCATAGCAGAGCATTATCGCACATCAACCCCACTCTCTGGTGTCACAGTCTGCTGCTCAGTGGGCACAGGGCAGGAGAATATACAGTAAAGATGAATTAGCTGCCGATCCTGTGATTCATTAAGTTTACTTTGTCACTGCAAAGTGCAACCAGGTCATGTAAAAGTCATGTGACAGTGCCAGACCTTTCCTGATTTGATGCACTTGCAGAACCACGGAATGGTTTCACAATAATATGATGGAGTCCACTTACTATACTTACTATCTATACTGCGGGGCTGACTGCTGTTTATATCATATCACGCCATAAAACAGACTTTTTCAACCTTTTCAACACAGAGGAACCCTTGAAATAACTTTCTGGTCTCAGGGAACCTCTGCTAAAAATTACAATATCTACAACTCACCAAACATTAGTGTAATGGTCAGCGGGAAGAATGCACCTTACACTTATGGTCATTGGGAAGAATTACCTCCTTAGAGATATAAAGATCAGAGATGTCACTGGGAACCTGAGAGGCAAACATTGGTCATTGCTCAATAATCCCTAGCAACCTTTTGGAGGAAATCCTAGAGTTCCACGAAACCCTGCTATACAAAGGTATGTAAAGGGGGCGCCTGATGTACAGTAAAGGGGCATTCTTGATGTAAAAGAGCATTCCTAATTTCAAGAAGGAACTCCTCATGTGAAGGAGGGGACACTCAATGTAAGAGAGACTCTTCATGTGAAGGGGGATCTTGATGTGAAGGGGAGAACTGATGTAAGAAGAGGGACTCCTGATGTGAAGAGAGGACTCAGATATAAATGGGAACTTTGTATACTTTGTTTAATATTGGCAACAAGTATTCCTCAGCCCCTGACAGCATTTGTGTGTACATATGTGGCAGGATTTTTTACATTATTTTTTTTTCTTATTTATAGAATAGTAATTGTAGAGTATGTTGTAAGTACAAGGACTGCACACTGAGTACCAAATTTAGGCTTAAACTCTATTAAACCATGCTCCTTTAAGCCACACCCAACATTCAGTGCTTTTTAGCCACATAAATTTTTTCCACAGTGAGTTCTGCGGGTCTTCTATATCCTTGGGTGTCCCTCATTTTCAACAACCAAAGTTGGAAGGTATGTGAACATCTGGTCTTCTCCCTTTTGGTCTGTTAAAGTCTACATAAACCCTAATATTGAACTTTATTCACCTCCTTTTGGTCTGATAAATATACAATTGAAAGTATTTTGCTATATCTGTTAAATAAGTCCACAAATACCTGTTGGTTTTGCCAGAAAACTTGTGAACTGGTAACTTCCATTGCTCACTGCTAGTGCCCAAGGAGGGATTATGGAGATTTGGGGGGGGGGGGGAGAAGGAGAGGTCAGTGTTCTTTGTAATACATCAGAAATGTAGATGTAGGCAGGACTAAGGGGAAGGAGCACTCCAAATTGATGAGACAACATTTATTTTTCTGTACGTGTAGTGTGTATAAAGGGTTAAAACATGGGGAATGTGCCTGCATTCCATAGATGTATTAAATATATTTATTTGGCCCTGCCATACTCTTTAATGGAATAGTAGAATAGAGTGATCCATTACTAAAAACTATGGAAATACATTTCCATTGTGTCGGTGAGTGTCCAGTCTCATATATGACATAATAGTTATTGATGGGTGCAGCCATTTTGAATTATCTTCACTGTGTCAACACATAGCAGAACTGAGTTTCTAACTCTATGCAGCTTTCCACTAGAGTTGGGTAAGGTAACATCACCTGTGATTTTTGCACCGCTGGAGTCACTAGTATTAGTTATTTCTACATTGTTCACATTTTGTATACCGCTGTGATCTTGTTCAGTAACAAAGTATGGTATAAATATATTTAGTAAAGTAACACATTCCTTTACACAGAAATACAAGTCAAAACAAAAAATCAGCACTTGCCAACGTAAAGTTAAAATTATCCCACCAAGACAAAGAATGCAATCCAGAAGTCAGTATCGTGAAAAACTGCTGTGTATTTTCATTGGCAAGATTAAGAACTATTCTAAACATATGTTTACATGTTATGCTTGAGAACAAAACAAATGTACAATAATGTGCTGACTTATTATATAATAATCCACAGGGATACAATATTTTAAGTATGTGCATACATTTAATATCACGCTAATTACAGCAGATATTGATTACCGAGCCACCGATTAAAAGCTGACAACAACCCAAGCCAGATCGCCCCGCTATCCATGTTGCATGCTTCCTCAGACATACCTCTCTGGGAATTACCTAATTGTGCACCTATTGCGATATCAACAGTTCTATGGCTTCCCCCTGCCCTGCGCCCCACAACACTGAGTCCAATTTTGCTCCATGGCTTACAAGTGTGGGACTCGGTACGTTACTCCAGTGGCCTAATGTCACCTTTTTTGCCTTTGCTCCCAATCACTAACAACCACCTCTTCCCACCAGGTTTAGATCAACCAAGGGCGTTTTCTTGGTGGGTGACCAATGGTTTTTCACAGGTACGACACTTTTTGACCTTTCGGTCTTTCCCTACCTGGGATTCTCTTCGGGAGTCACGGGATATCCCTCCGGTGGAATTTTTTCTTTACCTTCAATTGCGGCATTGGCTGCTCTCATTGCGGGGGCACTTCTGTCTTCCCGTACCAGAAATCTGCCTTTGAACTGCTTTGCCAACAGCGGCCTTATTTCCCTTCTTTATGCAGCTTTGAATAGACGCTCGTCGCATACTTCTCTTTCATATGTCGTTCAGTGGGAGCGTGACCTGGGAGTGGCTGTGGATCCTGGGGGACTGGAATAAGGCCTGGTCACTCATAGCTAAATGCTCATTTAATACGACCACGCTGGAGGCGGCTTACAAGGTATTGTTTCGTTGGTATTGGGTTCCGGCTCGTTTGGCACAGGCAAATCCTGCCTGCAGTGATCGATGCTTTCGGGGTTGTGGCCATCGTGGTGATGTATTGCATATCTGGTGCTCATGCCCGAGGCTGCTTTGTTTTTGGTCTCGTGTGTTTGGCCTCCTTTTCACTTTGTTCCATCTCTCCATACGCCGGGATGCTCGGTATGCTTTGCTTCATTGTCCCATCCCGGGCCTCTTGGCTCATCAGCAGAAGTTGGCTTCCTATTTGTTTTTGTCGGCCTCTAGAACAATTGCTCAGGCCTGTAAGAGCCAGTTTGTCCCTCTTCAGGGGGTGCAGGACCGTATGACCCCTATGATGCTCAATGAACAGATGTCGAGTATCTGCAACGACTCCCAATGTAAATTCTTGAAAATATGGGAGCCGTGGCTGCAATATACCGTTCCCACGCTCCCCCTGGCTAGTCTGGGGATGTGATGTTGTTCGGCTTTGGCGTTCTTGGATCCCTGCTCTTGGTTTGGTTATCTTTTTTCTTTCGTTCTTCTCCACTTCTCCTTCCTTCCCCCCCCCCCCCTTTTTCTTTTTTTTTTCTGTTTGTTTTTGGTGTGGCAGTGGATAGCTGCCTTTAGTCTGAGTTATTCTCAGTGTTATATTTATGTTTTGTTATTTAAGTGCCATTGATGGTCCCTGCGTGGGCGATCTTTTGCCCTGTTGGTGTTAGAGCACTGATTTCTTTAATTTTCTACTTCTTTTATGTGCAATTGATAGCCCCTGTGTGGGCGTGATTTGTTGCTCCTGTGTTAATTGTTATTAAAAAACAAAAAAGCTCTCAGTCATTTAGAAAAAAAGCACTTCTGCTTTTGCTATGCTAGCTATTCTAGCTATAGGCAGGACTTCCCCCATCCTCTGGAACTCACTACCCCAATCCATCAGACTGTCACCTACCCTCCTCACCTTCAGGCGCACCCTGAAAACCCATCTCTTCAGGGAAGCCTGCCCCACCCTCACCTAACAGCTGTTCTCCTCCACTCCTCCTACCACTCCATCCCTCACAGCCACTTCCTCCTGTACCACTATCCCCTCCCTCCTAGATTGTAAGCTCGAAAGAGCAGGGCCCTCGAACCTCTTGTATATTGTTTTGTTACTGTATTGTCTCATGTACTGTCCCCCACTATAATGTACAGCGCTGAGCAAACTTTTTGGCGCTATATAAACACTGCATAAACAATATATATATATATATATACACACACACACACATAGTGCTCAGCATAAATGAGTACACCCCTATTGAAAAGTAAGATTTCAAGCAATATCTCAATGGGTACTCTTTCAATACAGAGCAGTACATCTGTGAATTCATGATACCCACAGAAGGACACTGCCACCACGTTTCACTGTAGGCACCATGCATCACTGTAGGCACCATGCATTTTTCTTTGTACTCCTCACCTTTCCGACACCATATAGTTTTGAAGCCATCAGTTCCAAAAACATTTATCTTGGTCTCATCACTCCAGAGTACAGAGTCCCAGTAGTCTTCTTTTTCAGCATGGGCCCTGGCAATTTCTAGGCGGGTTTTGGGAGAGGTTTCCTTCTTGGACGACACCCATGCATGCCAATCCTCTGCAGTGTACACTGTATTGTGTCATGGGAAACAATCATCCCAGTTTGGCTTTCTACTTCTTTAGCTAACTGCAGTGAACTTGCATGGCGATTTTCTTCAACCCTTTTCATCAGAAGATGCTCCTGTTAGGATGTTATCTTCTGTGGACAACCTGGATATCTTTGTAAGATGGTTGCAGTTCCATCTTTGGTAAATTTTTGTATCACTTTTGTTACAGTATTCTGACTGATAAGTAAAGCTTTGCTGATCCTTCTTGTAGAAATTATTTTCTATCTCAGGCCTTGTCAAATAACGCCCTTTTATAATCAACTGTCTGCTGGACACCTGTTTAATGAATAATTAGACTCACCTGTAGCTGAATTCTTGTGAATTAGGATTTTGTTGTCTAAAATTTAGCTTTGCTCCTAAGACTTTCATTGGGGTGTATTCATTTATGCAACATGGCCTTGAATTAATTTGTTAGGAAAAATACTTTTTTGTTTGTGCAAATTAACAAATCTAGTTTGCAATCAATAGCCCGCATTTCTGGGAGTATTTTGTAGTATAGTGTCCCATAAAAAAATGTTGATTCTGCAAGGAAAGTAAAGGTTTTCTGACAAATCATTTGGGGTGTACTCATTTATGCTAAATACTGTACACACACACACATATATATATATATATATTATACATATACATATATATATATACACACACACATACATATACACACACACACTATATATGCATATACAGTGGATATAAAAAAAGTCTACACACCCCTGTTAAAATGTTGGGTTTCGGGGGGCGCTCGTGAGCAGCAACCAGGATGGCTGCTTCTTAAATTAACTCCTCGGCCGCCGGACACATCGGCCGATTTTCACTCCTCAGGGGGGGTCCCCCTGTTTCCTCTCTGGCCCCCTGTCTCTCCGGTGCCCGTGCCTCCAGCTCCCGGCGGGCTGCTCCTAAGTTTGCGGCCTACCCGCCGGAGATCGCGGCTGAAGCCGGGGCCTCGATTTTGGGCCGGCCGCCGCAGACTTCCAGGACCCCGGCCGCGGGTTCGCGGCTCCCGCCCAGGACTTCAGATGGAGCCCTAGCCGCGATTTTGTGTCCCCCGCTGTCACCATCCATGGGTGGATCGGATCCTGGCAGTGTGGAGGACCTGGCATCAGAGCCATCCCTGCAGTCTCCTATGCCATCTCTGCGGAATGCTGAGCTTCTGCGCCGATTCCAATGCATGCTGCAGTCCGAGTTGTCCTCCGCTACCCCTCCAAGCTGGCCGACCGTCTTTCGCAGGAGATTCGCGAGTTGGGCAACCGGACGAACGACCTCGAAGATAAGATGGACACTGCGGCCACGGTCATGGAAAATCACGAACAGGATCTGTGCGACCTCAAGAAAGAATTGGCGGACGCGCTGCTACGGCTTGAGGATTTCGAAAATCGTTCCCGCCGTGGCAATCTGCGGTTAAGGGGTATCCCGGAAACGGTCACGGATCTTACTTCTACTGCTACAGCTCTGTTTCAGGAGCTGACACCCGCTGTTCCCATTGACCGGCTTGAATTTGACCGCATACATCGTGCGTTGGGCCCCAGACGACCGGATGGGCCCCCGAGGGACATTATCATCAAGTTTACTTATTACCGCACTAAGGAAACTATCCTCTTGGCGGCCAGAAACAACCCTGACCTCAGCTTCCAGGGGCATCGCTACCAGCTCTTTGCAGACCTCTCTCAGACCACTCTTCAGAAGTGTCGCCAATTGAAGCCCTTCACTTCGGTAACACAGTATCAAATACGCCTGGGGCTTCCCGTTTCGCCTCACCTTCACCTACCAGGGCCGCAGTCATTCTGTGGCTACACCGGAGGAGGCCCATTCTCTCCTGGAATCTTTACACCTTCTTTCGCCTGAGGCTGCGGATCGGAGCCTGGCACATTCCTCAGGATCCCCGGCGAGGCCGCTTCTTCCAAGCCGCATCTGGGAGCGGTCGTCCAATAGGAAGAGGGCCCTCCCTCAGACCCCTTCGCGATCAAGTCCTTCCTGTTCTTCTCCGGGCTGAAGATGTGTCTTGGACTTCCCATGTATCATCTCACCGATGGACTTCCTTGACGGTACCATGAGTTTGGCCCTTAGGGCTCCCCCAGTTTGTCAGCATTACGGGTTGGGACTGCTCCAGTGTGCCCCCTTGGGTTCCTTCCCTGGTTGGGGGGGGTCTCCTCATGGACTCAAGAATTATGACTTTCTGCTGCCGCAGCCTATTTTGGGCCTGGGTGATGGTATTCCGTTTTTGTTGGTAGCACGGAGTGAGGGTTCCCTCGGGTTTCGGGGTGGGAGGTTGATCTGGTAAGCCCGGCTGGGTGAGAGGTGGTTGGCCCCATGGTTCTCTGGGTTGCTATGGGGAGGTCATCACGGTGGCCTAGCTCCTGGGACCTTTAGTTTTATTGCTTTGGTACCCCGTTCTATTGTGTTTATTGCCTTATTGCCCTTTTGCCCCCTGAGGGCTTATGTTTCTGATGTTTCCATTTGCAGCCATGTGTCCGGTGGTAGAGCCACCCCTAACTGGTATCCTTCATTTGTAGGATGCACGTCACCATTGGCGTGACACGATTGCACTATTGTATATTCTTTTTGTGTCCTTTTCCTTCTTTCTTTTTTTTTGTTTTTTTTCTTCTTTGGTTTTTTTTTGTTTTTGTTTTTCTGCAGGGTTCCGGGACGCCACGGCCCGATCGCCATTGGGAGCGGAAATACTAGCTGCTTTATGGTTTTTTTTCTGCTGAGCGTGTTGCGCAGATGTCGCCATGGCCTTGCCCCTTTTGAAAATTCATTTGCAAAATGTTCAAGGCTTCAATTCGCCTCAGAAGCGGCTAAAGTTTTTCATCACCTCAAATCGCAACAAACTGACGTGGTATGTTTACAAGAGACCAGGTTTTCTCAGTCCTCCTCCCCGCGTTATCTTTCACCTCACTATCCCACCTTTTACACGGCCTCGGCTCCTGAGAAGCGTCGGGTGTCCTGATCGCTTTTTAAACGCAATCTCCCCTTTGTCTGTGCTAGGAATATAGCGGACCCCACGGGTAGGTATCTGCTTCTGCAAGGCACCCTCTGGGACCAGGAGGTTACTTTTGTCTCTTACTACGCGCCTAATCGTTTTCAGGATAAATTCTTTTCACATCTTTGCACCATTGTTTTACGACACTCCAAGGGTCTCCTTGTTGTTTTGGGGGATTCAAATGTTACTTTGGATTCCGCATTGGATAGGCGCTGCGCACGGGGGGCGGCCCCTTCTCATGACTTGGTGCTGGAGGAACGTATGCGCTCTCTCCTGCGGACAGCGGGGCTGGCGGACGTCTGGAGGGAGCTTCACCCAACGGAACGCGACTTTACATTCTATTCCAGTCCTCATGATAGTTTTTGTAGAATTGATCATATATTTATGCAGGTTCAGCAGCTTCCCTTGGTCAGGCGGATAACTATTCCCTCCTCGCCTTGGTCGGATCACGATCCCTTGGTACTTCTCCTTGCCCTCTCTGGGTCAGAACGGCGCCCTTTTCATTGGCGCATCAATGATTCTTTATTGACCACTCAGGCTACCTGCCAACTAATAGAATTTTTTTTTACGAACATACTTTCACGGAAAACGCGGGATCGGTCTCCTCGGCAGTGCCCCTATGGGAGGCGCATAAGGCCACGGTGCGGGGTCATGTTATACAGCTGGCGGCGGTCCGGGAGCGGGAGCGCCGACTTTTAGAGCTTCATTCTCTCCTGGCCTCTGCGGATGCACGTTGGAAGTCATCTCCATCCGCGGCCCATAAACACGCTCGGGACACTCTGGCGGCAGAGTTGGACCTACTTGCCTCTTCGGAGGCGGAACGGGCCCTGCGTTGGACCAAACACAAATTTTATTCCTGTGCTAATAAGCCAGGCCCGATGCTGGCCAGGAAACTCAATTCTGTGGGGGGAAACCCCATAAAACCGATTCGACTGCGACTTCCTACAGGTGGCTGTACTTCTAATCCCCAGCAGATTGTTTCCCGTTTCTCAGACTTCCTTTCATGCCTCTACGCTAAACCAGATCCCTTCCCCGTGGCTCAAGCAGAGGCATTCTTTCAAGATCTCCGACTTCCTGGGTTATCCGAGGCAGCACAGGTGGCACTCAACGCCGGTGTCACTGTACCAGAAGTGCTCCAAGCTATCAAATCTTTACGGTCCACCACGGCCCCAGGTCCCGACGGCTGTTCCGGTCTTTATTATAAGAAATTTTCAGCCTTGTTGGCGCCCTTTTTGGCTGAGTATTTTAAAGCGTTACGACAGGGCTCCTCGCCCTCCCCAGATGCGCTTAGAGCGCATATCGCCATGATTCCTAAGACGACCGATGATGTACAGGAACCGCAAGCCTTCCGGCCTATTTCTCTTCTTAATGAAGACCTGAAGATATTGGACAAGATCCTTAGTTTTCGCATCAATAAATATTTGCGTAGCCTGGTCCACAGGGACCAGGTAGGGTTCGTCCCCGAGAGGCAGGCGGGTGATAACGTTCGTAAGGTGGTCCATCTTATACATTTTCTGCAACAGTGGAAAATCCCGGGATTCTTACTGTCTTTAGACATATATAAAGCCTTTGATTCTCTATCCTGGGAATATCTGCGGTTTGTGCTGTCTCGTTGGGGTTTTGGGGATTCTATTCTTTCTTGGATTCAGGCCTTGTATTCTTCTCCTTCGGCCTCCGTCAAATACGCTGGGTATTTTTCAGATCCCTTTCCTATTGGGCGAGGGACGAGGCAGGGTTGCCCCCCTGTCCCCAGCGCTCTTTGTCCTGGCGCTTGAGCCGCTGGCTTTAGCGCTTCGGACCGATCGCAATGTATCGGGGGTTGCTTACGCCGGACAGGAATTCAAACTGAACCTTTTGCAGATGACAGGAACTACCTAATTGTGACCCTATCGCACTGTCGACGCTTCTATGGCTTCCCCCTGCCCTGCGCCCTATGGCACTGAGTCCGATGTTACTTCATGGCCTACAAGTTTGGGACTCGGTACGTTACTCTGGTGGCTTGATGTCACCTTTTCTGCCTTTGCTCCCAATTATTAACAACCCTCTTTTTCCACC